CAAATGAGCTGAAATTTTCAGGGATTGTAGTCCTCTGAAAAGGATGAAATTCAGTGAAAGATTCAGCTTTCTATCTATAATAGAAAAAAAGTTACGACCTTTGAAAATTTTCAGAAAAAATCATAAGGGGGGTACCTTCTTACTAAAATGATGAAATTTCAAATTTTTTTTTGTCGAGATTTTGGGTCCTACTGGTCCCTCGTGATACCTTGAACTGCATACACAAAATTATTCTCAGATTTGAAGCCGACATCTATGAAAAAAGGCACTCGGAAAAATTGAAAAATTGATAAATCACCCCAATTGCTTAACACGATTTTATCTCAGGAACCACAAGTGCAAATGAATTGAAATTTTCAGGGATTGTATTTCTCTGAAAAGGATGAAATTCAGTGAAAGATTCAGCTTTCTATCTATAATAGAAAAAAAGTTACGACCTTTGAAAATTTTCAGAAAAAATCATAAGGGGGGTACCTTCTTACTAAAATGATGAAATTTCAAATTTTTTTTTGTCGAGATTTTGGGTCCTACTGGTCCCTCGTGATACCTTGAACTGCATACACAAAATTATTCTCAGATTTGAAGCCGACATCTATGAAAAAAGGCACTCGGAAAACTTGAAAAATTGATAAATCACCCCAATTGCTTAACACGATTTTATCTCAGGAACCACAAGTGCAAATGAGCTGAAATTTTCAGGGATTGTAGTCCTCTGAAAAGGATGAAATTCAGTGAAAGATTCAGCTTTCTATCTATAATAGAAAAAAAGTTACGACCTTTGAAAATTTTCAGAAAAAATCATAAGGGGGGTACCTTCTTACTAAAATGATGAAATTTCAAATTTTTTTTTGTCGAGATTTTGGGTCCTACTGGTCCCTCGTGATACCTTGAACTGCATACACAAAATTATTCTCAGATTTGAAGCCGACATCTATGAAAAAAGGCACTCGGAAAAATTGAAAAATTGATAAATCACCCCAATTGCTTAACACGATTTTATCTCAGGAACCACAAGTGCAAATGAGCTGAAATTTTCAGGGATTGTATTTCTCTGAAAAGGATGAAATTCAGTGAAAGATTCAGCTTTCTATCTATAATAGAAAAAAAAGTTACGACCTTTGAAAATTTTCAGAAAAAATCATAAGGGGGGTACCTTCTTACTAAAATGATGAAATTTCAAATTTTTTTTTGTCGAGATTTTGGGTCCTACTGGTCCCTCGTGATACCCTGAACTCCATGCACAAAATTATTCTCAGATTTGAAGCCGACATCTATGAAAAAAGGCACTCGGAAAAATTGAAAAATTGATAAATCACCTCAATTGCTTAACACGATTTTATCTCAGGAACCACAAGTGCAAATGAGCTGAAATTTTCAGGGATTGTAGTCCTCTGAAAAGGATGAAATTCAGTGAAAGATTCAGCTTTCTATCTATAATAGAAAAAAAGTTACGACCTTTGAAAATTTTCAGAAAAAATCATAAGGGGGGATACCTTCTTACTAAAATGATGAAATTTCAAATTTTTTTTTGTCGAGATTTTGGGTCCTACTGGTCCCTCGTGATACCTTGAACTGCATACACAAAATTATTCTCAGATTTGAAGCCGACATCTATGAAAAAAGGCACTCGGAAAAATTGAAAAATTGATAAATCACCCCAATTGCTTAACACGATTTTATCTCAGGAACCACAAGTGCAAATGAGCTGAAATTTTCAGGGATTGTATTTCTCTGAAAAGGATGAAATTCAGTGAAAGATTCAGCTTTCTATCTATAATAGAAAAAAAGTTACGACCTTTGAAAATTTTCAGAAAAAATCATAAGGGGGGTACCTTCTTACTAAAATGATGAAATTTCAAATTTTTTTTTTGTCGAGATTTTGGGTCCTACTGGTCCCTCGTGATACCCTGAACTCCATGCACAAAATTATTCTCAGATTTGAAGCCGACATCTATGAAAAAAGGCACTCGGAAAAATTGAAAAATTGATAAATCACCTCAATTGCTTAACACGATTTTATCTCAGGAACCACAAGTGCAAATGAGCTGAAATTTTCAGGGATTGTAGTCCTCTGAAAAGGATGAAATTCAGTGAAAGATTCAGCTTTCTATCTATAATAGAAAAAAAGTTACGACCTTTGAAAATTTTCAGAAAAAATCATAAGGGGGGTACCTTCTTACTAAAATGATGAAATTTCAAATTTTTTTTTGTCGAGATTTTGGGTCCTACTGGTCCCTCGTGATACCTTGAACTGCATACACAAAATTATTCTCAGATTTGAAGCCGACATCTATGAAAAAAGGCACTCGGAAAAATTGAAAAATTGATAAATCACCCCAATTGCTTAACACGATTTTATCTCAGGAACCACAAGTGCAAATGAATTGAAATTTTCAGGGATTGTATTTCTCTGAAAAGGATGAAATTCAGTGAAAGATTCAGCTTTCTATCTATAATAGAAAAAAAGTTACGACCTTTGAAAATTTTCAGAAAAAATCATAAGGGGGGTACCTTCTTACTAAAATGATGAAATTTCAAATTTTTTTTTGTCGAGATTTTGGGTCCTACTGGTCCCTCGTGATACCTTGAACTGCATACACAAAATTATTCTCAGATTTGAAGCCGACATCTATGAAAAAAGGCACTCGGAAAAATTGAAAAATTGATAAATCACCCCAATTGCTTAACACGATTTTATCTCAGGAACCACAAGTGCAAATGAGCTGAAATTTTCAGGGATTGTAGTCCTCTGAAAAGGATGAAATTCAATGAAAGATTCAGCTTTCTATCTATAATAGAAAAAAAGTTACGACCTTTGAAAATTTTCAGAAAAAATCATAAGGGGGGTACCTTCTTACTAAAATGATGAAATTTCAAATTTTTTTTTGTCGAGATTTTGGGTCCTACTGGTCCCTCGTGATACCTTGAACTGCATACACAAAATTATTCTCAGATTTGAAGCCGACATCTATGAAAAAAGGCACTCGGAAAAATTGAAAAATTGATAAATCACCCCAATTGCTTAACACGATTTTATCTCAGGAACCACAAGTGCAAATGAATTGAAATTTTCAGGGATTGTATTTCTCTGAAAAGGATGAAATTCAGTGAAAGATTCAGCTTTCTATCTATAATAGAAAAAAAGTTACGACCTTTGAAAATTTTCAGAAAAAATCATAAGGGGGATACCTTCTTACTAAAATGATGAAATTTCAAATTTTTTTTTGTCGAGATTTTGGGTCCTACTGGCCCCTCGTGATACCTTGAACTGCATACACAAAATTATTCTCAGATTTGAAGCCGACATCTATGAAAAAAGGCACTCGGAAAAATTGAAAAATTGATAAATCACCCCAATTGCTTAACACGATTTTATCTCAGGAACCACAAGTGCAAATGAGCTGAAATTTTCAGGGATTGTAGTCCTCTGAAAAGGATGAAATTCAATGAAAGATTCAGCTTTCTATCTATAATAGAAAAAAAGTTACGACCTTTGAAAATTTTCAGAAAAAATCATAAGGGGGGTACCTTCTTACTAAAATGATGAAATTTCAAATTTTTTTTTGTCGAGATTTTGGGTCCTACTGGTCCCTCGTGATACCCTGAACTCCATGCACAAAATTATTTTCGGATTTGAAGCCGACATCTATGGAAAAAGGCACTCAGAAAAATTGAAAAATTGACAAATCACCCCAATCGCTTAACACGATTTTATCTCAGGAACCACAAGTGCAAATGAGCTGAAATTTTCAGGGATTGTATTTCTCTGAAAAGGATGAAATTCAGTGAAAGATTCAGCTTTCTATCTATAATAGAAAAAAAGTTACGACCTTTGAAAATTTTCAGAAAAAATCATAAGGGGGGGTACCTTCTTACTAAAATGATGAAATTTCAAATTTTTTTTTTTCGAGATTTTGGGTCCTACTGGTCCCTCGTGATACCCTGAATTCCATACACAAAATTATTCTCAGATTTGAAGCCGACATCTATGAAAAAAGGCACTCAGAAAAATTGAAAAATTGACAAATCACCCCAATCGCTTAACACGATTTTATCTCAGGAACCACAAGTGCAAATGAGCTGAAATTTTCAGGGATTGTAGTCCTCTGAAAAGGATGAAATTCAGTGAAAGATTCAGCTTTCTATCTATAATAGAAAAAAAGTTACGACCTTTGAAAATTTTCCGAAAAAATCATAAGGGGAGTACCATCTTAGTTGAAATTTTGAGGACTTTTTCCTAAAGATTCAATGTAAAAAATACTAAAAACTCAAAGCGATTGAGTTATTATTAATGGACTTTTTCAAAATAATGATGTTTTATAGAGTATTACTTTACAAAACATCATTATTTTTAAAAAGTCATAACTCCAATAATAATAACTCAATCCCTTTGAGTTTTTAGTATTTTTTACATTGAATGATCAGGAAAAAATCCTCAAAATTTCAACTCTCCACTCAGTTGGGTTTTTGAGTGAAAAAATTATTTGTATAGTAGTTTTCGCATAAAAAATTACAAAGCCTACTTGGCTTTTTGACATCGCTAGACTCCTAATTCTGTCCTCTGTCAGTTGTCAACCGATTTTGACGTAGTTTGACTTCAATTGAAGCCAGTTGACAAAGAAAAACAACGAATTAAATGTCATTGTAGTGACAAGAATATTCTCGAATATGCTTAAGGGTCAAGTGTATCCTGTTCAAATTTCAAAAAATCCCTACGAAGTAGGTACCTACCTATCAATAATTTTTCATGAATTTTTGAACAAAAATGTACACGAATCTGAATACATATGAATATGAAGCTTACTTCAGCCATTTGTCTTTGTTCTAAATAAAAACTCAATTCCAAAATAGAATTAAAAAAAATCTCCTCACGTTTCTACAAACAAAAAGATAAACATTACAATAGTTTTGCCACAGTTTATTGCCATACATAAGAGAGTCACGTAGGCCAAGTTTCGAAGCGCGACGCTCCCCTCTATAGCCGTCCTCGTCCGATACCCGACAACACACAAAAGCCACACGTTGGGGGGAAAGCTCGCGGTACGTTATATAAGGGCTGTACAGCTGATTCGGGAATCAGTTTTTGTTCAGAAGTGAAAGGCTCCTCGAGGGAGGAAAAAAAAAAAGAAAAAGCCGGTAGCCGGTTTTTCTGATAAGGAACTCTTTTTTTTTTTTGTTGTTGTGATATTAGTGTAGAAAAAAAAAAATGGAAGTGCTTCCCATCAGCAACGAAACTTATAATAATGAAGAAGGTAATAATAATAATAAGAGTTTTAATTATTTGTAAGAAAAATCGCTTTTAATTTACTTCAATCAGCTGGCCGGTTTTGCTTGTATATGACCCTGCGCGACCTTCTTCTATTCTATGCCCGCCTAGCAACAACGAATTGTCGAATCGGCGGTGCCAAATCAATATAAGTTTCATCACTAGTTCATTGGGGCTAGCGCGAAACGCACCGTCGTGACGGTTCAGCGGCGCAAGGCTTGGCAACCTGGCCAATTTTCATTTCTCTCGCCTCGCTATACACTGATCTTCTACATCAAACAAAATAAAATTACTGCGAGTTTCTCTGATTTTCATTTTTGGATTTCTATTTCTGTTGTCAACAGAAAAAAGATTACAATAATTTATCTAATTTATTTCAGAATGGGACTGTCCGGAAAACCCGAACGAGCCGGCACTGGTCGAGGCCCTTTCGAAACGTCTCGAAGCCGAGCTGCGCGAAGCAAAAAACACGCATCTGATGGTGGGCGAAGTGCTGCTGCCCAATGGGCTCACTCGTCGCATTGCGCAGCATATTTTCCGGATGGCGGACAGCGAATTTTACGGGCTGCGCGGTTGCACGCTGTACATCGACTTCGAAGGCGAAGGTGTCAACCGGAAGCTGAGCAGTTTCAGGTGCGACCCGACCACGCCAGCGACTTTCGAAGTTTATCTGACTTTGAAGCAGTCCACAGCCGCCTGGAACAGCTTTTTGCCGCAATTTTTAAAGTAAGAGTCCACGGCTTTTTGATTATTTTTTTTTTTGGTACTTAATCAGGTTTTTTGCAGAAAAATTACACGAAGCGGAGCAGTGATGATCAGTCCAGAATACCAACTTCAATTGAAGAAGCTCTACAGATCTTCTCTAAATTAGAGAGTGTTTATCGATTAGAAAGACTGATATATCTATCACAATGATAGAACACATAATCAAAAAAAGAAAAGTATATATTTTATAATAACCAACCCTCTCCCCTGAGTGATAGTATTTTGAAAATTTAGATTTTAAACATTTGAAGCAATAAATATGTGACGACCAAAATGTCGAGATAAACGGGTCACATTCTTCGGTATGTGATAACTAATTTTGTGATCTTAATATCTCGAAGATTCAAGGAAATTTCAAAGAAATTCCCTAGAAGATGTGATAAAATGTTAATTCAAATTATTTTTTTTTTTTTTTGTGATATTAGTTGTTTACTTGAGGAGTGGGTGAGAATCAGCAAAATTTTTACAGTATTAAATAAAAGGCCTCTTCTACCCAGTAGAGGCTTTGGCAGATTCTCGCTCAGACTCGATTTATGGTGAATTTGATCTCAAATCAATATAGGGATGATGATTGATTTAAAAAAAAAAATGATGTTTTGTATGTTTTTTGATAATATAGTAGATTTACGTTTTCTATTTTATAAGTGTGATAGTGCAGGAATCTGTACCCGAGCTTTTTTTATAGAGGTAATATTATGTAAAGTTAAAACAGTTATTTACGAGAAAATTTATATGAAAAAAAAATTAATAAAAAGTTTTTATTATTTGAATTTGTTGCCTAATTAATTATTTCCTTAACTAGGAACATATCGATAAAACAATAGATTATTGCAAAATCCTTATCGCATCAATAACAAGTAAAAACCAGTTAATTTTTCCTCTATAGTAATTGACTGACTTCAACGATAACATTTTCATGGATAAGACGATATATTAGGACGTCACCTTCTTAAAACTGTGATTTTACTTTGCCTATAAGACGAGAAGCCTTTTACTATAATCCTATTAACTCTATCGAATTACAGACAGACGAAAAAGGATTTTTTCCGACTTATATTTAGCTCGGAGTCTTATCTATATAAATTGTTCGAAAAGCAAACAGGAAAAGTAAACTAAATAGGACTGGGCCTACATTGTTTGTTGACAGATTGAACATGTTTGAACATACAACTCGAGAGGTTGAAGAGCCTCAAAAAAAGCCTTGCACATATAGTTATTATTATCTATCGATTCAAGCGAAGATATGGAATTATTTAAGAAGTGATTTTCTTGTAAGACGAAATATGACAAGATCGAGCACAAATGGTACTGGAAGTTGTAGGCAGTACCAATAAATACCGTTTGTAGATGAGTCGTTTCGGCTTTTCAGCCGCTCAGGCACTGCTACCTTTGCAGATATTTTAACTATTTTGTTCATGACTCTACATCAAAAAAAGGGTTATTGTGAAAATATGGACGTTTCTACCCTAGCCTCGAACTCTGACTTAGAGTATTTTCTCAAAAACCAGGCCTAAAAGCGAAACACAACCACCGCAACTTCCTCCTTCGATCAAGTGAAGTCAAAACAAAAAAAGCGAGCTAAAAGGATCCATCATCGACTTTTCTTCTTGCTCCAAGCTCCAACACGAAGAACCAGTTCGTTGATGCGATGGGATGGCAAACTCGTTTTATTTCAAGTAATTTTCAAGACTTGCACCAACCAGCCGAAAATACAATCCATTCGCTATCAAAATCGGTTGGTGCAATCAATAAACGACACATTGGAACTGGTTTCGAAATTATAAATAGGGAACAACTAGGTGCCCCTCTAGACCCCACTCCACTCGAGTCTTTTTATTTGTTTTCTCTCCTATAAGCCCAATCAATTCGTTTTATTAAATAATACCTAATTAAGCTTAAATTGAAACGACCCGGGTTCCTTTGCTATTTTTAGCTGTTTAACCATTATATGTGGATATAAATAGGTTGTTGTTTGCGTCTTTTTAGTGCTGGATGCTTTCTGTTTTTGATAACAACAATAAAAATTGTTGCCACATTTCTTTTCGAGTCGTGATGAATAAACAAACAGCCACTCCTCACTATACAACTAAAAGGCTACGTTGTTGTAATTCGTCTAATTTGTGCTCTCGTCTCACATTATTAAAGTTATTGGAACTTAAATAGCTCAGTTTGCCTGCGTTTTATGGTTTATAAAACAAAAACGCCAGGAAGTTATGTGTGTCGTAAAAATCTCCAAGTATACACAAAATAAATCCGTTAAGTTGTTCATAACAAAAACAGATTTTGCAATATTATTAGCATTTCATAATTTATTATTGAAATGCGTTTATTTCCTGTTCTTTGATAAAAAGGAAATGACTGATAAAAATCCTAATCCTTGCGTAAAGTGTAAAAAGTAATTTGAAATTCCATGTGTGCTGCTCTAATCTCTGGAATTGTGAAAATAGGCAAACGAATTATATTAGCGAGACCTTGGACAAGCTATAGGAAAACGTAAACAGGGAAATTAAAGTTTTTCCTGGCGCCCGCTTCCATCGACTACTTTACTACATAATAAATAAAATCCACTTATTTTTGGGTTGACAATAAAGCAACGTTTCAGAACAATTTCATCATCTAATAATAATTAAAAACAACCTTCGAAATTTGCATATTTATAAATACTGATCTCTGTATAAACAAATCGCAAAGATAGTTTTGGCAATTAGTGTCTCAGTCAGGAACAAAATAAATAAAGTTATATAAAGACCGAATTTTATATTTAGATGCGTGCTAATTGGGTTTAGACGTCAACCAATAATTGAAAAGTGGTATCAACAACAAAATCAAATTATTTAAATTTTGCTAAAGTCACCCCAAATTGCTTAGAAGCTATAAGTTCAAATGAGCTGAAATTTTCAGGGATTGTAGTCCTTTGGAAGGAGTTATTTATGTATCAAGGGTACTTAGTAGATGATTATGCCCCAAGGGCGACAGTCTTACAAAGCCGAGAGCCTCTGGCCCGAGGGTTCGTAAGTCGCCCGAGGGATATATATCTATTAGTACCCGTGGTGCATACAAACTGTTTTGGACTGTATTTCTTTTTGGTTGATCTTGAAATAATGGACTAGCAGATGGTGATGATGAATACTTGGTTTATTGACATTTACTATTTGATTTTTAGATGAAAAAATGATTTTTTATAAAAGCTGCTTGTTTCTTGTACGGCGGTGCTGCTTCTCTGCGTTCCAGCTGACTTGTCCAGCTGTGTATTTTTTTCTCTCTCCTTCGTGCTTTAAGCCGGGCTCACAAGTCACAGCACAATGCTGCCAAGCTTCGATACGGAACATTGATGACGTAGGAATAAACACAAAAAGGTATGAGTGGCCGAAACATGCCCCCGGCCTTGAAAGGACTGTACTTTCAAATTTCCAATGGAAGGGGGACAAATCTTCTGGAAGTTTCTTTTGATGGGCCCAGTGCTTGTTAAAATGGAAGCGATGCGAGCTACGCCATCAGAACCTGGGTGCAATTGAGTGATGCGTCCAAGTTTCCAATCAGTAGGGAGTGCTTGGTCATCCTGAATGAGAACTAATGTACCCTCAGACAACTGGCCTCGGCTAACCTTCCACTTCTGTTTGTGTTGCAATTCGGATATGTAGTCTTGCTGCCAACGTCGCCAAAAATGTTGACAAAGTCTTTGAACTAGCTAGAACCTTGTCAATCGATTGAGCTTGATATCTTCCAAGTTTTCTTCTGGGGCGGCAGTTAGTGGTCTTCCGATAAGGAAGTGAGCCGGGGTCAAAGGAACTAGGTCATTGGGTTTAGAGGAAAGTGGAGAAAGAGGGCGCGAGTTCAAGATAGCTTCAATTTGCGCTAATGTCGTAATAAGCTCTTCAAAGGTAAGATGAGCATTTGCAAGGACACGTTTTAAATGATGTTTTACGCTTTTGACGCCGCCTCTCCCACAAACCCCCCATATGCGGAGAATATGGACAAATAAATTGCCAGTCTATCCCTTCATTAGTAGCATTACATTTTAATGTATCTTGATTGGATTCTAGAAATGTTTTAAGTTCGCGGTGTGCTCCAACAAAGGTTGTGCCGTTGTCATTAACAATTTTGGAAGGTTTCCCTCTTCTGGAAACGAAACGCCTTAAAGCTAATAAAAAAGAGTTTGTAGTTAAACTTGACACTAGTTCCAAGTGCAAAGCCTTTGTGGAAAAGCACACGAATACTCCAATATAACACTTTTCTAATTTGCGTGAACGTGATTTACCCAGTCCCTGCCTCACTAGAAACGGTCCCGCATAATCAAGTCCTGTGACGTGAAAAGGCGGAAAAGGAACAGTGCGATCGCGCGGTAAATTGGCCATGATCGGCTGTACATAATCGGGTTTAAATCTGAAACATCGAAAACATCTTTTTGACCGTCGTTTCTAGCTAAATTGCGACCAGCAACTGGCCAAAATTCGTCTCTTATTGAGGATAATAAAGCTTGAGGTCCGATGTGCATTAACTTGACATGTTCATGGGCAAAGAGCAATTTCGTAAAATGATGACTTGAATGCAATAATATTGGATGTTTTTTATCTAGTGAAAAATCAGAAAATTCCAATCTGCCCCCAACCCGAATAATCTCATCTGAATCTAAAAATGGTGTTAAATTGAGAATTTTGCTATTGTTAGCAATGGGACGTTTTTCAATTAAATGAGAGAATTCATCAGGAAAAGATTGTCTTTGAGCGACCTTAATTAGATGCTTCTTTGCAAGATTAAATTCTTGAATTTTAAGAGGGTCTTTAACTCGATCAGAAGCCGATTTCAAACAATTGTTCTTGAATCGCAAAATAAAAGCAACAGCTCGAATCAAACGTAGACATTTTGAAAACCTTTCGAAAGGAAATGCGTTTAATTCGAAAACTGGCATTGCGGTGATCGACAAGGGTTTCAACTCTGGAACGGTGTCGACTTTAGATGGTAATAACGGCCATTCACTAGAGGGTGTCTTCAAAAATCTGGGTCCATGCCACCACATATCCGAGTCTAGAATTTGATTTGGATATAATCCTCGAGATAAGTGGTCGGCTGGATTTTCTTGACTAGGTACGTGTCTCCAATCTTGACTGTCGGTTAGATTTTGAATTATTGCTATTCTGGTTGCTACAAACGTCTTTAATACGTTTGGAGTCGTTCTGATCCATGCTAAAACGATTGACGAATCCGACCAATAGACACATTTTTGAGATTGTATATTTAAAGACATCTTAATCTTGTTTACAAGACAAGCAAGTAATAACGCGGCGCATAATTCTAACTTGGGTATGCTTAGAGTTTTAATGGGTGCAAATTTCGAACATAAAAGCCTTACATGTACTTGATTATTTTGATCTACACTTCGAACATATAAACATGCACCGTATGCTCGCTCGGAGGCGTCTGCAAAACCCTGCAAATCGACTATCTGCGCCCCCTCGCCCACTACATGTCGTTCGATGGTTAATTGGTTTAAACAAAGTAGATCAACCTTGAACTTGTGCCATTCACAGGCTAGATGTTCCGGTAGACTCTCATCCCAAGACACCTTTTCAGACCACAATCTTTGCATGAGGATCTTCGCTAGGATAGTACATGGACTCAACATTCCCAATGGGTTAAATATGCGAGCGGTGAGAGACAAAACATTTTTTTTTTGTATCCATCTGATAAGTGCTTATATCAATGCGAAAGGCTAACTTGTCGTTATAGCAGGACCAAGTTAAACCTAGGGTTTTAGCTGTTTCATCAGGAC